CAACTTTCCTAGACAGAACTCCCTCAGATTGTACTTTCCACGTAACCACACAATTATTCTCAAAATCAATTATTAAATTTTATTGAGTAAATTATGAGATGTAATCTAATTAATGGAAACTATTCCAAAAGTCAAAAGCCTAAATCTACCAAATTATGAAAATCCTAGATTAGGAGTCTAAATTAGTCAATTAATTACAATATAAACTATAATCCTAAGAATTAATGAAAACTATAAAAGAAAAAATTAAATTAGGCAACAATTAAAAATATACAAATGAGGAAACAAAATAAAATCTTAATTTACCAAAAATAAAACATTACAAAATTAAATTACAATTAATTTTAAAACTAAATAAAATAAAATAAAATAAACACTAAAGCAAGTCCTAAATTTTCTTTCACAACTAAGGAAACTAAATAAAAAGAATTGGAATGAAAAGAGATTTTTTTAATATATTTATGTATACATACGGAAACAAAGAGAGAAAGGAGAACGGCAATGATCAGTGACTAAAATAAAAAAAAAATTTTAAATAAGAAACGAGAAAGAGAGGAAGAAAAGAAAATAAATAAAAATTAATAATAAAAAAATGTATAATGTAACGTAACAGAGAAGAACGAAAAACAAACAAAAGTTTTTTTTTTTAATAGTGGCTAAAAATAGATCACGCAAATCAAGAAATAAAAACTGAATAAATAAGAATAAAAAGAAAATGCACCTACCTCTTACCTCTTTGACTCAAAAATTTACTGATCAGTCTTGCTAGCAGCACCTCCCCGGCAACGGTGCCAAAATTTGATTAACGCCCAAAAGTGATATTCACAAGCGGTCAATTGTAGCACAGAAGGACGGTTGTGTCCACAAAGAGAGAACAAAATAACTAGAATAATTAACAGAATAACAGCATTAGAGAAAAGTGAATTAAAAAAAAAGAGAGTTTTTGAGATTTTTGTTGCAAATAAAATAAAAAGGAGAAAATCTGTATGAAGAAAACGGTAAGGTGTCGAGAATCCCTAATGCTTCGTTCATCAATTCAAGTTTTGATTCACAAAATAAAATAATCGAATAAATTAAATCTCTATGTTGGCTCAGAAAATATTATTATTACAAGTTATCTAAAATCGACAATATATCAATCTGACAATATTGCAGTAAAAGACAATTTGTAAAATAATTTGAATAACAAAACATTGCATGACAGAATTACATAAGAAAAGCGTGACTAAACTTATATAAAAATTGACACACAATATTTTGAAAAGTAATAGAAAAATAGATGAGATTTAATTCATTCAGATATTGGAGTTTACAGAATAAGGAATCAAAACTCCGAATTGGGTCACTCAACAGAATTTCATCTCTAACCTCACCAAGAAAACTCTAGCCTATCTTGCGAAACATTCTCACAAGTTCTAGAGAGAAAATATGAGACTGTCAGCAAGACGACAGAAAATTAAATATTAAAAAGCTTCTAAAACCTTAAGCCAACCCCTCTATTTATAGTGTTCAGAGGTTGCCTGTCAAATAAGGAAATAAATTGTAAAACTAGAAAATTACAAAAGAAAAGGAAACAAAATAAAATTACACATGAATTAGGAGAAATCACATATTTGATTTGGGGAAGAAATCTGGTAATTTCCTCTGATTTTTGGGGAAGGAATTCGGATTCATCACCAAATAGGACATGTGTCGCAACGTGATTGGAATTAATGAGAGAAACGTGCCACATGTCGCACGCGGATTGGTTACGTGTGCTGGCGCGGTCAGAGTTGAGGACCCGCGTTGGACAGGTGGCGGACGCGGAGAAGGTAGCAGGCCTGCTGCTGGCGTGCGGGACCCACGTGGAGGGATGCTTGGACGCGCGGTGATGGCCGCGTGGAAGGGACGCGCACGCTGAGGAACTCCCGTGCAGGTGACGCGCGTTGGAAGTGCTGTGGGCAGGCTATCACAAACTGGGACCCACGCGTGGCTTGGCTCGGTGGCTCAAACGGCTGACGCGGCTCTTCTCACTCTTTGGCTTGTGAGGCTCGGCTGAATGGCCTAGCTTGGGTGGTTAAAAATATGACTTTCATGGCTTATTTTTGTGTAGCTTTTTACACTGCTTTTTATCTTAAAATAATCAAGCAACAACTAAATAAATTTCAATGAATAATATTCTGAATAAAAATAATGAAATTGTTTAATTAAAGCTTAAATATTTTAATATTATATAATCAAAAGCAGTATTTAATGTGCATTTTCATATACTAATCACATCATAAGTTGCGTCTAAGGGTGGGAGACGTCTGCAATACGAGCATTAATTGCAAACCCCTAAACCGCCCTGCAGTGGGCAGTGAGGGATTACAGGAATTCACAGAGCCGTAATAGAAGATCTTGTGTGTTTTCTCATTCAAGTGATATACTCATGCTTACAAGACACAACAACCACTCCACAACTTGATTTTTAATATACTGTTAATTTCTAGCCGGAAACCCAACGGGATACCAGCGGGTAATCCGGCGTATTTCTGTTGATGAAATTTCACCGTCAACAACCAGTACTGTCTTGTCTTTCTTTCTTGAGCAGTATTAACTATAACATTTACAGATGTTTATATATATATTGTTGGAATATTTTTATATGGACTTTCATAATCATAATAATTCACTTTGTAATTAATTAAAACATTTTATGGACAACTGTGTTAATGTGAATTTACAAATACATGTATGTTAAATATCGGTCTATTATAGGATGGACACTTGTTTTATTAACTCGCCTCTCTGTGTGAATATTGGAAAAGGCCCCCTATTTGGTTTACATAGGCAGCCACCTTTTGTTTTTGGTGGCGTGTACTCGTGGGGTGTGTGTAGGGGGCTTTAGGTCTGTGGCCGAATGAACACAGAGAGGGAGAGACAGGGAGGAGTTCATGCTCCTCTTGCTTCTTTTTCTTCTTTTTGCTGCTCTTCCACCCACTTTGTAACGCGATCCAGAATTCAACATGTTTAATTATGTTAAATTATGAATTATTAGTGTGCCTAATTTAATTTTCACAATTAATCAAGGAACTTTAAATTATTTTCAGTATTTATGATTTTACCCCGAAAGCTTTTGAAAATACACTTAAATTTTAATTTATTTTCCCCTTTTTCCATTTTTCCATTTTCCTTTTTTTTCCTTTCTTTTCTTTTTCCTTTTTCTTTTTTTCTACTTTTCATTTTTTTCCTTTTCTTCTTTTTGTTCCCGTGCAGCCCAGCCCTCACAGCCCTCTCTCTCTTTCTTTTCTTTTCTTTTCTTTTCTTTCCTCTGATTCTCCAACGCCCAACCCTTCTCTCTCTCTCTCTCTCTGTTTTCTTCCACCGCCGGCCACTTCTCCGGGCTCTCTCTCTCTCTCTCTCCTGCCGGCCTTTCTCTCTCCCTTACTCTTTCTAGGTTTCTCTCTCTCTCTCTCTCTCGGCAGTTTGGCCGAGACACCAAAAAAAAAAAAGAAAACGGGCGAAACTGAGGGAAACAAAGCTCCATCAACTAATTTGAGGTAAAACCCCTTGAAACCCCCTCTTTGATTTAAAATTTAAGCTTGAGAAAGTTTAATTTTTGTTAGATTTGAATAATTTTGAGTTAGGGTTTGGATTTGAACAATTGTTGTTAGAATTGAATTAAATTTGGGGGCTTTTAGTTATTTGACTTGTTAAATTGATTGGAAACTGGTTTTGATGGATTCTGGAGAGTTTATTTTGAAATTGAATTTAAATTGCAGGTTTGGCATTTTTCTTATTTATGCTGGCATGTTGCCGAAATTTCTTTAAAAAAACTTGCTTTTAAACTGAAATTAAATAGGAAACCAACCCCATGAATTGGATTTCAATTTTTAAGGAACCTCCAAACTGAATTTTAAAAATCGTTTGTGAAACTTGGATTTAAGGCATACTAATAGGAAACAATTAAACATGATTGAGCTCAATTCATTTTAGGAATGAGAAATATATCCTAAGACACCGCTTTTGTGATAAAGCTAGTGGAGAAGATCGAGTATTAAAGCATTAAAGCTTTCGGAGGTTAGGGTGACGAGAAGTTAGCCACAGGTTTGACATCCGAGAGGTAGGATATTCTTACCCATTTTCTTGTTAGCCTGTTTTAAAGTGTTTTGGCCAAATAATGTTTTCAAAAGATAAGAACATGTTGATAAAGAAAAGTATTTTCAAGACAATAGCTTGATTTTTCGCTATTGATCTCATAATTGATTGATTTCAAGTTTTAATGAACATTTTCGTAAGATAAGATACCTTGCGAACTGGTAAGCCCGCTGATGGCCTAGATATGATATGGAGATCGTGTCCTTAGGGGCAGAACCCGAAACCCGTACGGGCCACTACGGTGACATTTGGCCTTGCTTTGGTCGTGAGTAATTTAATTACTTAAATTACTTGCTGGTTGCATGTGATATGAAATTTCAGTTCATTTACCTTTCAGAAAAAGGTCGTTTGGTTCCGATTAATTATTTCGAGCCTGACTATCTCATTTTATTTACTTACTTATTTATTTAGTTTTATAACTCTTATCCTATTGGGCCTTTCACTCATTTTTCCTATGCTTCAAAATGTATTAACCCCACCCAAGTGACGTTAGAGGTAGCGCATAATAGGTGAGGAATTCAATTCTAGAAGAAAGGAAGCGGTGAAGCATCTTCCTTCACTATCAGACTTATTAAGGCATGTATTAACTATGGATTGTAAACCTTAGACATAACTACACTGTGGTTGATGCCAATTATTTACTTTTCTGTATTTAATTGTGTGCACAAA